AAGCCTCCCGGACTGGACGAGGCATTTCAAGGAGCTTAACAGAATGTTAGGCCACCCGTTGAATGCCCGTCCGTTCGGGAAGGGGGGTTCGTTTTACGCCACAAAGCGCCACAGAATTCAGGACGGTTCAACGCTACATGGTTGAACTGTCCAAGGCAACACCTAGTATCTCGTGGTACTGCTATACCCCGGATGAAGACAAGCCCACCAAAGTGGGCATCCGGGGCCTACCAATGGGAACCGACACCAGTACCATCGAGGAGGCCATAAAGGCAAAGGGCTTCCCGGTCAAATATGTGAAAGCAATCCCACCGAGAAGGGGCAGACCAGGATGCGTATACTTTGCCCAATTCGACCACCTAAGCCTGGAGCAGCTTAAAAGACTCTACGAAGTTGACGAACTACTCTTCATGAGAGGAGTAGTTATTGAGGCCTGGCAAAGAAAAGCCGGACCGGCACAATGCCACCGCTGCCAGGCCTTTGGACATGCCTCAGCAAATTGCTTCAGGCCGGTGAAGTGTGTACGCTGCGCCGGGGAGCACATAGCGAGCCTTTGCCCTCGGGGTAGAGAGGAGGAACCCACATGTGCCAATTGTGGCAAAAATCATACTGCCAATGACCGTCGCTGCCCAGTCCTGAGGAGGACTGCACGGAGGCAGGGGGATAACCTTACCGGGGCTACTCCCGGAGGACCCGAAAAGGATCCCCCAGAGTCGCCCAAAAACCATCACCATCCAGAAAGACGGGTGGGCCACCATCACGGGGAAGGGCAGACAACCAGACCCCCCCCCACCCGTACCACGCAAGGAAACGGTGGAACCCACAGAGGAAAGGGCAACCACCGGGGCGACCCTGCAACCTCCCGCCAACCCTGCCACAGAACGGCAGCCCTCCAAGAAGAGGAGGCGGGAGAGAAGCCGAAAGAAGTCGCAGCCTCCTCGGGCTGTTACCTCTACCCCGACACCAGGACCAATAGCGCCTCAGGCGCAGGTTATAAAGGAGACCACCCAAAAGGGCGTGAGTAGAGTGCAGGAGAGGGCTCCACCGGAGGAGAGAGCCCGAGCTACTCACAGAGCGCGCTCTACTCAAAAACAAGAAGTCCAACGCCCGAGACCAGTACCAACGCCTTCAGATAGGAGACCACCGACGGCCGGCCTCGAAACAGTTGATGCAATCCAGCGCTTAGTTGGGATTGCCATCGAGGTCGGCACGCAAGTCCTGGCCGACATCAGAGCCGGGACGGATCCAATAACAGCGATCATGAAGGCGCTGGCAAACCTCCTGGCCAGACATTATGGAGGATAATAACCTGCGCCTAATGTACTGGAACCCGGACGGAATTCAGCAGAAGCTGCAGGAACTCCGCACTGTCGCCCAGCAACAGGACATACATATTATACTGCTGGGCGAAACAATATTGAATCCCAAAACGCGCATAAAGCTGCCTAACTTCCACATCTATAGAAGGGACGAGGTCACTTCTCAAGGGGCCGCCTATAGAGGGACGGCGGTTCTAGTGAGGAGGGACATCGTCCACCAAGAGCTGGATCTACCATCCTTCCAGACTATGCGCTCGATCGGCATAAGAATGGAGGCGGCGGGCGAGGAACTAAGAATATACGCAGCATACCGCCCGCCAGGGACTCCATTCTGCTCCTCAGACATCCGGACGGTAATGGAGGGCGATACTCCTGTAATCATCGCCGGGGACCTGAACGCCAAACACCCGGCGTGGGGGTCCAGAGTGATCACCCCGCCGGGTCGTGAGCTATATGAAGATGCTGAGAAGAACCAGTATGACGTTCTAGGTCCCGAGGAGCCAACTCACGTTCCTACCGACCCAAGGAGGCACCCGGATGTATTAGACATCGTGCTCACTAGGAACGTCAACTATCCGATAGTGGTAGAAGTGCTGTACGACCTCCCTTCACAGCACCTCCCGTTACTGATAACCCTTGGCTTAAAGGCGGTGACTACGCCGCCTAGAGCTTTTAAAACCCGTGTCGACTGGAGGCTCTACTGTCAACATCTTCAGCAGAGACCTCCAGCACACCAACCTATATGCACAGCGGACGACGTAGAGGCCGCTGCAACTAGAATCACCAATAACATCAAGGAAGCCCTCCACGCGGCTTCTACGGTCGTCCCGATTACAGCAAGGCGAGACGATCTGCCGCGTGAGATAAACGTGCAGATCAAGCGCAAACGAGCGCTGAGAAAGCTTTGGGCGCGTACTCGCTGCCCCAGGATCAAAACGCAGCTGAACACCTTAACGGAGGAACTGTCGGTTTCAGTCCAGGCCTTCAGAGGCGAAGCCTGGGATCGGCGCATCCAGAAGGCGGAAGAGAGTGATGTGTCGCTTTATAGACTAAACCGACAGTTGACCAAATCCAGACCTCCCGTTTGCCCGCTGACTGATAATACGGGCAAACGATGCTACGATGCCAAGGGCAGAGCGGATATCCTAGTCGAGCACTTCGAGGAGCAATTTATGCCGAACACAGCAAGTGCGGAGTTCATGGAGCTTCACGCCCGGAAGGAAAGTCGCGTACAGGAGTTCCTGTCGTCGCCCGCGCCACCTCTTGCAGGAGATTGGTTCATCTCCCCCGCAGAACTGCGGAGGACAGTAACCTGCCTGCAACCGAGGAAGGCGCCGGGGCACGACGGGATTACCAACGCTGCACTCCGACAGTTGCCCAATAGAGTCATAGTAGAGCTTGGTCGACTCTACAATGGGATATTGCGGACATCCCACTTCCCGGAGGACTGGAAGAAAGGCAAAATCATCGTCTTGCCGAAACCCGGGAAGGACAGGCGTAGAGCTGCCAGCTACAGGCCGATCACGCTATTACCACATATAGCTAAACTGTTCGAAAGATTGCTGCTAAGACGTCTCCGTCCGTGCATCCAACTTCGGGCGGAGCAGCACGGATTCAGGAGGGGTCACTCCACAGTCACACAACTGACTAGAGTGCTGCACCTGCTTGCGGCAGAGTACAATCGTGGCCGCATATCGTTGGGCGTCTTTCTCGATATCGAGAAGGCGTTCGACCGGGTGTGGCACACAGGATTATTATATAAACTGGAACAACAGACCAGTGTCCCTCCTGCTATATTGCGGCTAATAGCGTCTTTCCTGGAAGACAGGAAGTTCTACGTCTGCGTAGAGGACGCCGAATCCGCAACAAGATCCATCAAAGCCGGCGTCCCACAGGGCAGCTGTTTGTCTCCAGTCCTGTACGCGGCTTACACCAACGATATACCTACACTGGCAGGCAGGCTTCAAGAGTGGGAGGACGACGTCGAGCTGGCGCTATTCGCGGACGATAGCGCCTATTTCACCTCGTCCAGAAGAGCCCACATAGCCACTGCCAAGATGCAGCGTCTGCTGGACCTGCTGCCACCATGGCTGGATGAGTGGAGGATGGTCGTCAACGTTGGTAAGACGACCGCTCTGCTCACTCGCCGTCTCAGGAATTTACCACCTCCGCTGACCCTCAACGGCCAGGAGATTGCGTACCAGAAGGCTGTAACTTACCTTGGGTGTAGGATCGACAGGACGCTGCGCATGACCGCGCACGTCGACTTCGTCGTCCGCCGGGCCCGATGTGCGCGGGCGACGCTCTTGCCGGTCCTGGCATCCAAGCTGCCTCTAAGAACCAAGCTCCGGATATACAAGATGTATATCCGGACCATTATCACCTACGCTGCACCGGCCTGGTACGCACTTCTGAGCGACCCTCTGAGGCGGCGACTACAGGCCCAGCAGAATCTGACACTAAGGACGATCGTCGGAGCAGGTCGCTACGTCCGGAACGACGTGATAGCGGCGGATTTGAAGATCGAGAACATCATCGACTTCGTGGCCCGTTTAGCACGCGGCATGTTTGATCGTGCCGATAACGGGCCACATGAACATCTCAACGGCTTTGCGCCGTTGCATACCCGGCCACCGGACGGGCGACCTCTTCCAAGAGAACTCCTCTCTATATGTGATTAGAGAGTCGAGTAACAACCCACAATGCCGCAGAAAGGCCAACCCAGACTCAACCAGATAACCACCTTTTTCCGTAGTTGGTTAACTACGGAAACAATACATCACCTAATACGGAACAAACCCGGTATGCTATTAGCCTAGAATAGGCAACAAGGACTGTCCCATAATAATGGGACATGAGGACACCCGGGTAATGGGGGTCACCCCGAGGCCCGAGACCTGTATTGCATCTCGGTGCAATCAGACGACATTCAACGAGTCACCCTGCAGCTGTATTTATAGCTACAGCACGAATTTCTCGGCTCAAACGGGATAAGACCAAGCTCTCACAGAATACCAGCGTAAAAAGGAGAATAATGCTGACTGAAGTTTTGTGTGAAAACGCATCTGCACTCTAACCTATATTTAATTGAAAAAATAGATACAGATGTCTATAGGCCACAGCAACCACTTACAATGAGATGGACTGTGTGCTCGCTTGTCACCCTTATTCTATATTAAAAAATACTGTTGACCCTACATGCCATCCCTACAACTCTCGCACTCGCTCACGCACGCACGCACGCACGCAGCCGCATGTACGCACGCGCGAACGCACGTACGCGCGCATACACACACACACACACACACACACACACACACACACACACACACACCCACACACACACGCACACGCACACACACACACACACACACACATACTACATCCTCGTAGAATCCTGGCTTCCTAGGACCTCAAAACGTCGATATCTCCGAGACGAGATTCTCATAGCAAGAAGTTAAAAAAGAAAGTTAGTAGTGTTTAATAAAGTTTCTTTGTTGCAGAGTTAAAACGGCGTAAGCTCCACAAGAAGACAAAGATCCACATTATGGCGTAATCATGCGAAACAAACATGAAACAACGCCATCTACCGTCGAACGAGTGAACTAACTACTGGCGAGTGACGCGATATAACGGCGTCGGGTCCCAAAAATGCACTTAGCCTCTGTCATTGAATGAACGATGCCCCGGTTAAAGTATGCCTCCGTGCTTCGCTTTCTCGTCATCTTGGGGCTGTTCTGCTTGTGGGTGCAGATCATGCTGTCGGCGTCGAATGGGATTATTGACAGAGATGGTGGTAAGTTTGAAAAAAATTCTAAATACTTGCGTTAGGTAACTCCACATTCGTCAAGGTTCATGGCAATCGTGGCCATAATACGTGGGTAAAGCATCGGTGACATTGCCTTCTCGCTTGCACTAAAAGGCTAATTCATTACCTACGACACCCGCGTGACCCGTAACCCATCTTAAGGCGACCCTGATGGTACATCCCAGGGCGTTTAAATGGTTCACGCAGTCTCCAAGTAGCTTCGAGTATATTAATAATACTGTATTTTATCTCTTTCTCTCGTAGGCTTATTAATATTGCCGATGTATTTGTCCCTTTTTAGTGTCGTTTCACCGAGTTTCAAGCCACAACGATTCTTTATAAAGTAAAAAAAAAACAAATGTCTCGCCGCACGCGTCCCGCGTTTCGTCTCAGATAAGATTCGGTGCAAAAATGCATTAATAATGAAACATGTTGAACCCAAAGTCAACGTCGGGGTTGTTGACCAGGTTCAACAACCGCGAAATTTTGATAAGGCAAAGATGTCTGGCGTTGAAAAGTTTTATATTAAAACTATCTTGCCGGGCAAACGTTGTTCTGCCCTTTTCGACGACCTTTTGTCATGTCCTATTAAAAATCCTTAAATTCTCAAAAAAAATGTGGGTCACTCATGGGCAAAAAAACTATCCTATCTCTCAAGTTGGATCAAACTGCAGACGGTGTGCAAATTTGAATAAAATCGGTTAAGTAGTTTAGGAGTCCATTGCGGACAAACAACGTGACACGTAATTTGTATATATTAAGATTAAGATAATAACATTCGTTAATAGTATTTACTCAAACTAATTTATATATATTAAGATTAAGATAATAACAATCGTTAATAGTATTTACTCAAACATATAAAACTATGTATTAGGAATGCATCTGCCATGAGATAGCTTTTTAAACATAATCCTAATTCAAAATTGTGTTTTTTACGTTACCTCCACACTAGGATTTTCTCCCGTATCGTGAAGGCAGTTTACATACATAAATTTTACAGGGACAAACATCCAGACTCGGAACAATTATTTGTAGGCCATAACCCATAACAATACTTGTTTACGTGCGGAATTCGAACCCGCGACCCTCAACGCTGCAACTCATTGCCAAATAATCTAGATATTCATCTATTCATCAATCCAAGATGCTCCCCCAAAGATTGTGTCATAGAGGGGATTTTGCCATAGTTGTAATGTTACTGTCAATTTCATAGTTTCACTTCTTAGCGATTCGTGTGCTCCTGATAGATAGATTATCTGTCATCCTGGTAGGTAGATTCTACACATCCATCTATTACAGTCTCTATAAAAGTCCACTGCTGAACATAGGCCTCCCCCAAAGATTGCCTCATTGAGTGGGATTTTGCCATAGTCGTAATGTTACTGTCAATTTCATAATTTGACCTCTTAGGGAGTCGTGTGCTCCTGGTAGATAGATTACCTGGCATCCTGGTAGATAGATTCATCCATCCAATACAGTCTATATAAAAGTCCACTGCTGAACGTAGGCCTCCCCCAAAGATTGCCTCATTGAGGGGATTTTGCCATAGTAGTAATGTTACTGTCAATTTCATAATTTCACCTCTTAGGGAGTTGTGTGCTCCTGGTAGATAGATTACCTGTTATCCTGGAAGATAGATTCATCCATCCAATACAGTCTATATAAAAGTCTACTGCTGAACATAAGCTTCATCAAAAGATTGCCTCATTGAGGGGATTTTTCGTTAGTTGTAATGTTACTGTCTATTTCATAATTTCACCTCTTAGCGAATCGTGTGCTCCTGGTAGATAGATTACCTGTCATTCTGGTAGGTAGATTCTACACATCCATCCATTACAGTCTCTATAAAAGTCCACTGCTGAACATTGGCTTCCCCCATAGATTACCTTATATGTGGAAGGGCGGTGGAGATTTCACCATAGCCGCCACATTTGGCGGGCGGGTGGGCAACCGCAGTAATTGAATTGTTATCAGGAAGATCTTCACCTTCAGTTTCCGTCGCCTCTTACGACATGCACTGGACGATATGGAGTAGTGGATACTCTTACACCGCCACTAGTGCGATTAATTACCGACATGTGTGGTGGTACTGAAACCGGAGATGGGCAGCAGCATCTTCTAGATGACCCACGCCCACACGAAATACCATTGTGTAATAGTATCGTAATGCTGCTAAGTTATTAGCATGGCGAGTGTAGAGAGAACCTGATACTCTTTTATTAGCAAAATACCTTATTTTAGTTCTTTTGATTCTTAGTCGAATATAGATGTCAGATCACATCGTCCACTTACCATCAGGTGGTGTACAATAAATGCACAGGCACGGCTAATAAACAGGCAATTCAAAGAGTGGAATGTTATGTTGATTTAATAATTTCACCTCTCAGCCCATGTGCTCCTGGTACATTGTCTTCTCTACATCCATACATTACAGCTTAGCCTTATTAGGCCTCCCCCAATTGCCTCATGGGGGGAGTTTTTCTATAATTAAGACACTTGGCGAACGGGTTGGTTATCACAATTTTTTATAAAGCTTTTTTAACTGAACACATGGCTTCCATTATAGTCTTCAGGGGTAACAACGCATCTGTATTTTGATTCTTAATTGAGTATAGATATCTATGAGCCACAGCATCCAATTACCATCAGGTGAACTGCGTGCTCGTTTGTCACCTTTATTCTATAAAGAAAAAACATAATAATCTTGGTTTGCTGTATTTTGAAGCTGTGTTTCATCTTCTGCATCTTCAGAAGACTACACACGGGCGTAAATTTGAATTGGCACGCGCACAGTCTATTCTCCTGGTTTATCACTCCATTTCTAATGGAGTAGACTACCTCTATCTAATGCTCATTAGGATGCCAAGTGATGAGAACCCTTTTAACTGGAAACGAAGCATTACAATCTTAGTTCTCAGGGGTGACAACGCATCTGCATTTTTTATGCTTAATCAAGGATGGATACATATACCTCTGGGCCTATGGCTATACCTAGGACTATGGGCCACAGCATCCACTTACCATCACGTTGACTGTGTGCTCGCATGTCACCTATCTGTAAAAATATATATTTATATCGAGGTAAAATAAAAATGAAACCGATATATGGCGGGCATTAACTACCACAGTTTAATAATGAAAAAGTTATTACTTTTTAATTGCAGGTTACTATCTGTAACACACATATAATTTTTTATTAAATAATAAGAATGCATGTGCTACATAATTTGTATTCATACGCACATTATATGGACTGTGACTGATTCAACAATTATTATTTCATTTTACTTTGTGCTTTGTAGAAAACTATATTTTAGAATTGCTGATTTAACAGCTTGTCAACTTCTGATTATTACATCCTATATAAACCGTGGTAGCTAAGCGGTCGCGGTAAAATTTATAGTACGCGAGCAACCCGGGTTCGATCCCCGTTGGCACCAATTCAATTGGTAATTGCAATTTTAAGTGCTAATTTACCACGTGGTCGGCGGTGAATGAAAACGTGAGGAAACCTGAATGTCAGAGATATAAGAAAAAACATTCGAAGACATGTGGAGTTCGCCAATTCACATTGGGGCAGCAAGGTTGACACTTCCTTGCTCTAAAACCCACCAGAAGTAAGAGGTGTTCCGGCAGTGGGACGTATATAGGTTGAAATTTTAACTTTAATAAGTGTCAAGCTAACTTTCCCAAGTTTTAAATTTCAGAACTATAGTTGTTTTAAATGAGTGCTGTCTTTATTGGTTTTTACAACTTTTAACAGTCTACATAGGTCCACTCATGAAGGTTAGAGAACAGGAGAACGATCGCCGTAGAAAATAGTGTCCCAGAAATATGGACACCATAAGTGAGGCGCTGCGATCGCGAAGTTCGCTCAAAAAAAGTCATTTTCAGTCTATTTTTCCGATCAGAGGCTAAACCACTTGCATATCCACGCAAAATAAAATATTTCTCCATTTTTTAATGTTTCTTTTTGTCAAAAATCACAAAATTACGGAGCATGAAAATTTTGTCACCAATGCCGCAGAGAAAATATGTACATTATTCAACTAATTTCATCTACTTGTACTCATAGACAGCTGACTTCGCAGCCACTACTCACCAACGGCAGCGCAACTATATATTCTATAATTTTCAAGGACAGGTGGGCTATGCTTTAGTACGTAGCGATCGTTCTCTTGTTCTCTAACCTCCATGAGTCCACTGGTAAGAGACCATAGACATCCCTCGTAGATCTATCGATATAAAACGCTCAAAAAGGTATGTTGTATATACCTATGTCCGTTACAGACTTTGAAACGATCCAATCGATTTTGTAGAAGTAACAAATATTGATAATTCACAGACATTAACTTCTTGTAAATCCAGTGATAGATTAAATTCATTTGGAGTTCCACAAGGTTCCGTATTGGGGCCAATTCTTTTCCTTTTATATATAAATGACTTACCTGACTCAACTTTATACAAATGTATTTTATTTGCTGATGATATTTCAGTTATTGTGACATCTAAAAAAGACATTGACATTGACATCTATGAATCTAATATTAATAATACTATTGACAATATTTCAAAGTGGGCGACATATAATAATTTATGCATTAACGTAGAAAAGACATGTTATATTCAATTTAGTAATTATGGAACATTGAATAATAATCTTAATATATATTGCAATGGACAATCTGTTAATGAAATGACTGAAACAAAATTTCTGGGAATATTATTGGACAAACATGTTAACTGGAAAGCCCAAGTTGACAAAGTCTGTTCTAAAATAAATTGCTACATTTTTCTTCTTAGCAGACTGAGAAGAATTACATCTCATGAAACTTTACTAACGCTAATGCATACATTTATTCTGCACTCGATTATGGTCTTTGGGTTTAGCGCGTTGAGCTATGAATGGTTTAGCACCAGATTCATCGTGTAAACCGTATTTTAAAAAATTACACATTTTGACGCTGCCATGTATGTACATCCTC